ATAACACAAAAAGAACAGTACAACATCAGTCACACACAGCAAATCAAAGCATTTGTATTACGAATGTTAATGTGCCACCTAAACAACAACGAACACTTTGGACAAACCGTGAAAAAACTCCAGCAGAAACTGCAACTATCCGTATCGCATTAGTAACTTTGCCACATGAACAACCGAAAGCAATTTTGATGAACAGCGGAAAAGTACCAACAKCWTATACAAGCTGCAGAATTTCAAATGTAAATTTGCCTCATTTACMACAACAAACACTTCTAGCAAACAGTGAAAAAACAGCCTTTTCAAATACAAACGTTTGCACGGGAATTGTGTCACAAGGGCAACAACAAGMAGGTCTAACCAAACGTGAGAAAACTCTACTTGAAACAAGGAACAGTACCGATGCYAATATTTCTCAARTAACTGAACTTTCACGACGTCCARTGAACCATAGAAAAACACCACTGAACACTAATTATGATGATACAAATGCACCACTAGTGCAACAAGGAGAACTTCATGTGAATGCAAACAGTGCTGATGCAATTGCTCCTCAGAACAAGTTATTCAAATGCCCATTCTGTATTATAACATTTGAAGAACAAAACCATTTAGATATACATATCCGACGCATGCACAAAGAGAAATGTGCAATCTGCAGTCAAGAATTCCCATCAAAGAAAGATCTAAAGGATCACTACAGRTTAAGTCATGACGGAAGAACTGTCATTTGTCCAATTTGTAACAAGGCCTTTCGAAGAACAGCCTGTTTGAGGAGACACAACTTGGTACACAGTGGRGAAAGATCATTTAAATGTACAATGTGCGATAAAGCATTTAAAGAAAAGAATGCCTTGAAAGGTCATCAGAGAACACACACCGGAGAGAAACCATTTAGTTGTGATATGYGTGACCRACGCTTCTCTAGAAAGGATGGTCTAAATAACCACCGGCTGTCGCATAGCGAAGACAAGCCGTACAAATGCACAATCTGCGATAAAGCCTTCACGAAAAATATGCTCCTGAAAAAACACCATCGTTTGGTACACGTTGGAGATAGACCTTTTAAATGTTTAATATGTGATAAAGCATTTAAAGCAAAATGTGTCTTAAACAATCACCAGCAAACACACACCGCAGAGAAACCGTTCAGTTGTGATGTGTGTAATAAGAGCTTTTCTCGAAAGAGTAATKTGGATGCCCACCGTCTGTCGCACAAMGAAGAGATGCCTTACAAATGCACGACCTGCAATAAAGGCTTTACGAAAAGAACCTGTCTAAAGAGGCATGATCGTTTGGTACACATTGGGAAAAGAACATTCAAATGCAACTTATGTGATAAAGCATTCAAAGAAAAAAGTGTATTAAAAGTTCATCAACGAACGCACACCGCAGAGAAACATTTTAGGTGTGATAAATGTAGCCAAAGCTTTTCTCGAATAACTAATCTTAACATCCACCGTCTGTCACACAACGGAGGAAAACCTTACAAATGCACAATCTGTGATAGAGCTTTTACGCACAGATCCGGTTTTGAAATACATARGAAAACACACGATGGCGAGAGGAATTTGCAGCAACAAYCTTCCAAAGGACAAAGTGGTGATACAATTAAAGAAAACAATTGCGAACTTTGTGATAAAACCTTTGCTTGTGTTAAGCAGTTAATAGATCATTGCCAAGCAGATCATGGAGGGAAAAGATTTCTTTGCACCGTTTGTAACAGAGCGTTTGGACGAAAAACTTTACTTGAAGATCAYWTGCGCACACAYAGTGATGAAAGGTYGTTTAAATGTACAATTTGCKACAAGACATTTAAACAAAAGGCGTGTCTACGGTGCCATCGTAAGGTGCATAGCGACGTCAAGCAGTATAGCTGTTCAATATGTGAGAAATCTTTTAACCTAAAAAGGACGTTGAAGAACCATGAAGCAACACATRATGAGCCTTTAAGATGTTCATTCTGTGGGAAAGGCTTTCCTCTCAAGTATCGCTTAATGAAACATCAACGTCAGAAACACWGTGGAGAGAAGCCATATTTTTGTTATATCTGTAAAGAAACATTCGACTCCAAAGTCGATCTAGATGAACATCATCAAGCGCATCCTGAGAACGAGACTTTTAAATGCCTAGTCTGTAATGAAGCCTTTAGTCAAAGAAAGCTTTTGATCAAACACCAAGTGGTTCACACCAAAGTGAAGTCKTTTCGTTGTAAAATCTGTAGAAAAGGTTATACACAATGGAATATGTTACAAAGGCATGAATTGTTACACAATCAAGATCTAATGAGACCGTTTGCATGTGCCGTATGCAAAAAAGCATTCACTCGAAAGGCTCACTTAAGAAGTCATCGACGAATCCATAATGAAAGGAAACCTTTCAAGTGCACAACATGCAATAAAGCCTTCACTCGCAARTCCACATTAAACAAACATCAAGATATTCACCATCTAGAAGAAAATCTRCAAGAGCACAGTGATACCGCAGTGARCACTAGCSYAGAGGGAAACACAGCATGTATTGGAGAAGACAAAGAAGGACAATCACAGATTCTTGCCAAACAAAGTGAAGGGAGGGATCTTYATTGTGCAATYTGCAAYGAAAACTTCCAAAGTAAGGTTAAATTCCAAGATCATTATCGAGAAAATCACGGAGGGAAACGTTTTCTTTGTAMAGTATGCAATAAAACCTTTGTCAGGAACTACGATTTACGAAATCATCAGAGAGTCCACAGCGGGGAGAAACCGTTTAAGTGTAAAATTTGCAAAAAAGCCTTTAAACAACGGGCTGCTGTACGAAATCACCGTAAAGTTCACAGCACAAATAAGCCATTCAAGTGCACACAATGTGATCAAGCCTTTAAGCGAAGTAATCATCTTAAGAACCATCTATTAATTCATAGTGGTCTWAAGACATTTAAATGTGAAGTTTGCRATAAGGCCTTTTCAACGAAGGTGCATCTAAACAGCCACAGTCAAGGTCATAAAGCTGAGAAACCATTCACATGTACCATCTGTAATAAAGGGTTTTCCTGGAGCAGTCATTTTAAGCACCACCAACGAACTGTACACCATGTAAAAATTTAGGCTATACATTTGTACAATTGACTTGCTTTATATAAACTGTCCTCCAAAGCATCTAAAGCACGAAAGCATGTTAGAATACAATATACTGCATCAGAAGTACTTCTGATTGTATACATATTATAGGAAGATTCCCTTACAATAGTCATAACAAAGGTCAATGATACAATACAAAAAAAAAATTACTTACACTTACTACATTGATCACAATAAAATAAGTTAAATGAATAGCCGACTTGCGAATTACGCATCAATAGTCACATACAAAGGAATCAAGACGAGGCGCCGTGCTTTTTTGTGAAAAATCTATTGTCTTTAGCACGGCGCCTCGTCTTGATTCCTTTGTATGTGACTATTGATGCGTAATTCGCAAGTCGGCTATTATAGCAATATACTTCGACCAAGGCTGTCGAAAGGCTGACAAAGGGGATTTCCATAGGAAAGTTATAAGCAAAGGCCATTGCTATTTTGGTGATRTGTATTTCTTTCTTAAATAAAATGTTCATTTGTCATTGTCTCAGTTGTTGGATAAAACTACTTCGTTAAAAGAAACAGACTCTTATTGTGTGATCGGTTGTGTGGATTTTGTTGGGAAGAATTTATTCGGGATTGATGTTCGTATCCATACCTTGTTTTTTAGTTTTTTGTTATTGTTTTTAGTTTTATTTGTCTTTGTTTTGCTGAACTGATGATTCTTTTCGCAAGAATCGMAACGAAATTCAAGAAAAATATCGCAATTAACTTCAGTTTTCTAGCAGTAATTTTAGGTCTAGTATACACCCTTTTAATAAGTCCCGAGGTATTGTGTTTCCCGCACTTGACGTCAAATTTATTCTTTTGAATTCCTTTTGTATTGTAAAAATTCTAAAAGAATACATTTGACGTCAAGTGCGGAAAACACAATACCTCGGGACTTATTAAAAGGGTGTATATCATTCCTTGTTTGAAAATCTCCCGATTTGAGGGTGACGGAGGCTATTCCCAGACTCCTTTTTTTKAGAACATTGCCCGCTGAATAGCTAGAGTGTGGGCTCTCACAATACTGGATTGTTCGTTCGTTGTTGAACGATCAATCTTTTGTGTCCCAAATCTTTAGTTTAGTACTGTTCTAACGGGAAATTCGCCAAGAAGGTAAGTACCGAATACAATTTACATGAGTAGAATATCAGTAGTCTTTTGAAAAATATTTTTATGGCATTCACTCCTTCAGTGATTAATCTTACCATGTGCTGTCAGATAATAACATTCACTCGAGTCACATGAATAAACTGAAATATGTTTGAGTTTGATCAATTAATTTAACTTGGTATGAGATGCMTTAGTAAAAAGATACAGTGAAGTTTAAACTTATAAAGGAGTAAAGTTCAAAATAAACTGAATAATTGATTATGACAAAATTTATAACTTCTCGAAAAAATTCTGCATTCCTGTTCTTTGAAATTTCTTTGTTCACTCGTCATAAGATTCTCAATATTTTGGACTGCACAGTAGCTTTCACTGTATTCTTGTACTTACAAGTATTAAATACAAAGTTCGTCTTATATTCAGTCTCATAAGCTCATGCAATAGTTAAGAGATTGAAGCAATAAATTGAGACAGATTAATAGTGCATGCTACTGAAAAATACACTAATGTCTAAGACTGTACAATAACATTAATTTCTTGTGAATGAAAGACAGTACTCACGTATCTTTTGTTTTGTATTTAGAAAATTGAAGAAGAATGTTCGACTTACCAGGAAATAAACTAGMAAGATGAGTGAACAAGAACATAAACATGGACAAATGTCCAGACAAACTGAAATSGCAGATACTCAAAGAATAAAGCAAGAACCACATAGCATTAGCTCMTACAATAAAGATATTGAATCAGAACCAAGTCAAGTGAATGGAGATAACTTAGACCAATCGTTTGAAGGGGATAGCCMCTCTGAAATGGAAGACTTGGGATGTGTTATATGTATAAAGTGYAACAAGTGGTTTGAATCGACAAAACATTTGGAACGCCATGAGGAARTAGTCCACAAATRTGAAAAATCCTATAAGTGTGTTTATTGTGATAAAATGTTTGCACATCAGAACAGCTGTAATGTTCATCAGGAATCACATGTGTAYCATGAAACAGTGGAGGAAAGTGGTGATAAAGTTTTCATTAGTGCTCAAAATGATGGTAAGAAAATARGTTCTGATCAAGCAGAGAAAGAATTTGAGGAACAGGAAAAACAAGGAAAAACATCAGAGGATACAAATTGTCACAGAGACTTTATAGCAGGGATGAGTAATTTAGAAGATAATCAATGTCACAAAGACAACAAACCATTTAAATGTACAATATGTAATAAAGGTTTTTCAAGGAAGAGTAATCTAATTAGTCACCATCGTACTCACAGYGGAGAGAAACCATTTCAGTGCACAATCTGCAATAAAGCTTTTTCAGTGAAGTCCAATTTAAAGAACCACCTTTTCATCCATAATGAAGAGAAGCCATTTAACTGTGCAATATGCAGTAAAGCCTTCAGACAAAAATCCCAATTGAAATTCCATCTACAGATCCACAATGAGGAGAAACCTTTTAACTGCACAACATGTGATGATGCTTTTAGATCAAAGATTCAATTGCAGATCCATCAACAAGCTCATCATGGTGTAGAGAAGCCTTTTGAGTGCACAGTCTGCAATAAAACCTTTTCTTTAAAGACGAACCTGCAAAGGCATCAGCAAACACACACAGGAGAAAAACCATTTAAGTGTACAATCTGCAGTCGAGAATTTGCATTGAAAGCAAACTTACAAAGACATCATCTAATACACACTGGAGAAAAACCATTTAAGTGCACAGTGTGTGATAAAGCCTTTGCATTGAATGATGGCCTAAAATGCCACCTCCGYACACATAGTGGAGAAAAACCATTTCAGTGTTCAATCTGCAAAAAGACTTATTCTATAAAGGCTAATTTGAAAAGACATCAACAAACTCACAGCCGGGAGAATTCTTTGAAAAAAAGTGACTGACCATCAAATATATTATATCAAATTTTGATTCAATTTTGACTTTTAGTGAATTCCATTTGTAATTTTTTTATTTTTATATGACGTTTTGGGTGTAATTATATAGCTGTTCAATGATGTGAACTCATTGATCGTTTGTATTTCAATGTCAAATAAACTTTGAGCATTATTTCTTTGTCTGATTAGGGTGTAGTGAACTAACACATTTTAAGTCATCCAAATTTTTGAATAACAATCTGTAATRAAACATTCTTATAATTTAGAATGCTTCATGGAGAGAACTGGAAACAACAATTAACAGTACATTTTGCAAATTTGTATTACATGTAAAAAGATATTTGCAAAGGCAACAGTCTCTAATCAACACCTACTGGAGAGAAACAAATATTTCAATKCACACATGATAAAGCTTTAATAGTGAAAAAAATGGACCAAGATACCATTTTTGTATTCATAGCATCAGAAAGCACACCATAAGGGAACTCTACACATAGAGGGGAATGGCAGAGATCCTTGGAAGGTATGGTCAGGGGTGCTAGACACCTTKTTATTGGGTTGAAAATAAGATCCTGATGCATCCATTTTTTTTTTTTTTTCAAAAATTACTTAAGATGAAAAGATTTATAATTATTTGAAAATGATTTAGAATTATTTTACAATTTTGACAATCATGGGTTTGATGAGATTAAGAGTGTATTAATCAACTCTGTAAATAAAATAAGAGGTAAGTCGGCAAAGCACGAATTTAGATAATGTGCGATGTTGAAAAAGGTCGGGAAATATGTTAGGTGTTAGTTTCAACCAGGAGCGCTCCCGAAATCTTAACCTCCAATGACCCTGACATTGGTCTTCCTGTGGTATTCGAGAAGAGCTGAGACTGGAGTTTGTTGTATCTCRGTCTTCATATTTTGAAAACCGATGAAAACCTAGGATAGGAAATCTGTTCAAAATATCACCGGATTTCTTCCGTTCTCATGCTAACCTTGAATTATCGCATGAGGTAAGTTAAGTAGTTAGTAATAATGCTAAGAATTTACGCCTTTATTAGTCGACTCGTTTTCTTCGAATAATCTAAACTGGGAAACTTGTAGCGCCATCGTCAGCAGTGTTCTCGCAGTTTTTCGCATACGTAAAAGCCTGTACGTAAACTTCTAGTACTAATAATGAAGCAGAAGTTAACTATATGTGCTTTGTAGGCATGTGGCCAGCCTTATTTACCTTACAGCTCATTTGATATTTTTGTTTTTATTGTGCTAGTTTCTGGTATAAGCTTAAAAAGCATGAATGAAGAACAACAAGAAAACACCACAACCAATTTGTCATGGTTGGCTTATGATGGAAATGAATCTGAATTGGTATGATTAATATTCCTAGCTAGCCACATTGTCATGAATTGTAATATCCCACTCATAAATACTGTTGCATGAGTCTTGGCTTGGGTATCCCTCATCTGAAAAATCAACATGTAGGGTTGGCAAATGGTACTTGATCAAAGCTTTTGAAGATGGCTAGAATGGGGTTTATATATCCAAAATCAATACCAAATTACATAGAGCCAGAATTATACACCTTTTCAGTTGCACTTAGGCCTCGATAGCAAGTTAATTATTCTTTTGAATTTGACAAATGAGACTATTCATATCAATGTTTTGCATTCCTACAAATTCAAAAGAATATTTAACACACAGTCGAGGCCTTAGAGCAACTGAAAAGGTGTATTACATGGAATAGGAGGTTGGAAAAAAAAATACCGAGAATCCAAGAACATCCTTTTTTCAGTTTATATTTTTCTGGTGGCCATGTAATAAAACCCAGTAAGGATAACATCACAGATAAACATCTCTATTTTATTCAACCCAAACTAATACAAGACTAATACATTTTGTTTTNCCTTTATTAGTCGACTCGTTTTCTTCGAATAATCTAAACTGGGAAACTTGTAGCGCCGTCAGCAGTGTTCTCGCAGTTTTTCGCATACGTAAAAGCCCTGTACGTAAACTTCTAGTACTAATAATGAAGCAGAAGTTAACTATATGTGCTTTGTAGGCATGTGGCCAGCCTTATTTACCTTACAGCTCATTTGATATTTTTGTTTTTATTGTGGTAGTTTCTGGTATAAGCTTAAAAAGGATGAATGAAGAACAACAAAAAAACACCACAACCAATTTGTCATGGTTGGCTTATGATGGAAATGAATCTGAATTGGTATAATTAATATTCATAGCTAGCCACATTGTCATGAATTGTAATATCCCACTCATAAATACTGTTGCATGAGTCTTGGCTTTGGTATCCCTCATCTGAAAAATCAACATGTAGGGTTGGCAAATGGTACTTCAAAGCTTTTGAAGATGGCTAGAATGGGGTTTATATATCCAAAATCAATACCAAATTACATAGAGCCAGAATACACCTTTTCAGTTGCACTTAGGCCTCGATAGCAAGTAAATTATTCTTTCGAATTTGACAAATGAGACTATTCATATCAATGTTTGCATTGCTCACATTCCTGCAAATTCAAAAGAATATTTAACACGCTGTCGAGGCCTTAGAGCAACTAAAAAGGTGTATTACATGGAATAGGAGGTTTAAAAAAAATTACCGAGAATCCAAGAACATCCTTTTTTCAGTTTATGTTTTTCTGGTGGCCATGTAATAAAACCCAGTAAGGATAACATCACAGATAAACATCTCTATTTTATTCAACCCAAACTGGAATACAAGACTAATACATTTTGTTTTTTTCATTATTAATTATTRTAGAAAATAAGATCACAAGATGGTCATTGTCTATTTACCATGAAGAGCTTCAATGAGAAATGTGCTATAGGATTGCGTGATATTGCAGAGATAAAACAAGCAGGGCAATATGACTATGAAGAACATATGGATAACAGTCCTAATAATTACTCACAACAACAAGACAGCAGCCAAACTTGCGACAGTGATTCAACTGGTCAACTTAAAGTCAGCCATGACATTGTGTCTGAAGAATTTGAATGCATATGCATCAAGTGTAACAAATGGTTTAAAAGTGAGAGGCACCTGGAAAGCCATGAAACTATAGTACACAAAGGAGAAAGGCCTTTTACATGTACTTATTGTGGTAAAGTATTTGCACATAAAAATGCATTGAAGATTCATAACGGAATACATATGAAAATAACAGCAGAGAAAACATATACTAGTACTAATACTACAGCAGAAGACAACAGCAAGTTTAAGTATCCTTTAACAAACCTGTTTTGTTGTTTCATTTGTAAYAAAGAYTTACAGTTCAGATKTGATGGTGACATAAAAGAGCATTACCAAATGCACAACCAAAAGCCTTTTCAGTGCACAATTTGCAATGAATCTTTTGCACTAAAGACTGCGTTAGAGTCCCACATTCAAACAAGCTGTGGACAAAAGCCATATATGTGTAAATTTTGTGCTAAACCATTCAAGTATGCAAGCAAATTAAGAAGTCATGAATGCACACATATTGATGAGAAGCCATTTAWATGCACAATCTGTAATAAAGCCTTCAAACGAAAAATTGAATTAAAGAGTCACCATGAAAGACACAGCGAAAAAAATGTATGTCAGTGCACAATTTGCAATGGTTACTTTGCTTCAAGAAGTTCATTACGGATACATAAAATTGTACACAGTGAAGAGAAGCCGTTTCAATGAGAAGCCGTTTCAATGTACAATTTGCGATAAAACTTTTAAAAGAAAGAGATACTTGAACGTCCACTTGAGAGTACATACTGGCGAGACACCTTACAAGTGCATGATCTGTAGTAAAGCTTACAAACAGAAAAGTCAACTAAATGCACATGTTCTCACTCACTCCGAAAAGAAACTATTTCAATGTACGATTTGCAACAAAGCTTTTTACAGAAAAAATAGCTTACGAAGTCATCGATTTGTACACAGCCAAGAAAGACCTTTTAAGTGTGAAGTCTGTYCCAAGACATTTAAACAGAACTGTGTTTTAAGACTTCATATGAGGACACATGATGACAATAAAAAGAAGTTGGAATGTTCGATGTGCAAGGAATTATTTGACACTAAAAGTAACCTACTGAAACACATTCGTTTTTTCCATAGCGGTGACCAATATAAATGCAATATCTGCTTCAAAGCGTTTGTCGAGGAAAGTGGCTTACAGAGGCATCAACAAATGCACATTGACGAGAAAACAAGGAATTGATMTTCATGAACCAGCTTGTGAATATAGAATTTATTTGAAACTTCTTCAAAAACTCTTTTTTTGTAAGCAAATTATGATAGAGCGATACTCCGAAGAGCAATGATTATAACCGTTAAGTTTGATCAAGTATCTTCATATTGATTTTTTACATCAAGTTGGGTTTCGTTATGATGGCATATTTATTAGGTAGCGTTGGACCTTTCCTCTTTCTTCGAGTCCTTCGAGGATTTGTTCTTGGTTTGGGTCAAGCAATTTCTTTACATTATTACTTGCTTCATCTTTTCAAGTGAAGTGATGTACGTAGATTAACTCTTTTAATACTATTTATATTAGTATAATATGTACGAATGTTAGTATTTATTGGTTTTGTTCTTGCGCTTCTCGCTATGATATGTTGTRAAAAAAATGAAATTAAGCAGTACAGTTTAATAAAGATTCRTGAATAACAATTTGTTTTTATTTACAAATTTTCCATTKTTATTGCATTCATGGCTCTGTGTTGTTCGGTATTTTGTCCGTTTGTGTTTTCTCRAGCTCTATCCATGATACCACATTCGCGCGCGTCAAAGCTAACACTCCATGCTTCCCGCCTTATGAGGACTCACCGAAAAAAAAAGATGAATGAAATTCTAGGAAGAATTTCCGTTACAATTAACTTGTTTTAGATTGTTAGTTCACCGTCTTCGTGAAGAGAGAGTTCTCCGTCTTCGTGAATTAAGAGTAATTACTTTTGACCAGGCGGCAAACGTAGAATCATATCATTGAGTGACCTTATGCTAATAAATTTTCAAAACCGACTTGAATTTTGTTGGAGATTTCTTGAAGAAAGCGAKTTAAAAAATACAGGCGGTACTATGAACAAGTAGTTTTCTAGGAGGTYTTAAAAAAGAATCACTGTAGTTTATTCCTTGAAAAAGTAAGATCGAAATTGCGGGAAYTAGTATAGTATGCTTGTTATTTTATTCGGAATCGGAAGTATACTTTGTAATTAAGATCCGACACTGACGATTGAAAAAGCTTTATCAGTTTAAGACAATGTAAACAAAGTTACATTCAAACCTCACAAAATTGAATGACGAATGTGGTCAAATTGATATTTTCAATTCTTGTTCCTGTTATATTACCCGAAGTATCAAGCTCAGTTATACTATTTTTCATCTACACGAATGTTGTTTCTAGGAAATCTTAATTTTTGATTTAATTTCTGCCTTTCGTGATAAATTATAACCGTTCTATTTCCCATAGTTTATTTAGCGTGATTGATTTGTCCGGTTTTCAGTCGGCAAACTGTTTCAGTAGTAAATCAATAAACACACAGACCTTTCAGACCCAGCGCTCGAAAAACTATTCGYCTGTGTTCATAAAAAGGACATTTGTTCCGATTTTGTTTAAAATAATTGTGTTCAAGTTTGGCAGTATTAAAAAAGGTATGTAAGTCAAGCTATTATTACAATACAGTATCTATTTCTATATTATGTACAAACGCGTCGAGTAAATAATTTTCTTTTGTTGTTGTGATATATCCTGTAGTTACATATAGACTCTTATCATCAAATTTATTTCGCAGTTTTTATACATATTTTCTTKAGTGCTTAGTCTCTCTTGTTTTGTTCATCAGATGAAACAAAATCAAAGATGATATTCTCCTGAACCACGGAGAAGGMGGTAATGGCAGTCGTAATGGCGCAATTTACATTGGTGTGYCTAATCGCGCTTATARTAACTGCTGATGGATGCCGTACCTCTACCTCAGTTCGCGATTATATACTWTACGACCACACCTATCATGTTATTGCAAATATAAGCCTCGTCAAATGTATATTCGAATGCGATATGGAGCCTAGCTGTTACAGTATTAATTACTTGTTTACCATGAGTCTTTGCGTGCTAAATAACGCAACAAGAGCGGTTGAGCCCATCAAGTTTCAGTATCGTCCCGATGTTGTTTATATTGAACATCTTGACAGACCTAAAGGTTCCTGTGATGGAGATTTTCCTTGTGAAAACCGCGGAACGTGTGTAAATATCCCGCAGTATCCCGGGTATCAATGCATTTGTGCAGATGCATATGTTGGTGAACAATGTGAAGGTAGGTTTGGTTTATTTTTGCTGGTTAAAAACATCAGAAACTCCAACTGCTACCATGTTACCACATAACACCACACCAGAAAATGGCTAACACTACACTGTGCTACATTGAATATTCTTGCACTCTATTTGTAATTCCTGATTTTTTCCCAGAGTGCTCTTCGCCTCCAGTTGGTCTATCAGATAACCGCATAACAAATAATAAGATTACGGGCTCATCGACCGGACAATGGGGCCTGACGTATTACTATCCATATATGGCACGACTAAATGGCAAGTCTTCCTGGGTAGTGTCATTAGTAGATTATAGCATGTACCTAGATATTGACTTGGCACCACAACTAAGACTGATTACAGGAATAGCAACACAAGGCAATCCCGATAAAGACTGGTGGACTACCAAGTATACTATAAATTACAGATTAAATGGTGATCTGCCTTGGATTTCCTTAAATCAGGTATCGTCGTTTATCAGTTGCGCGCTTCTTGCTTCATGCCTGGCCAGTTAGTTGACTGGCTGGTAYATTTTATTKGTTATAGCTGGYYGAGTGCCTACTTTGGTKTGCTGGGGGTGGTTGCTTGGTATGCCTGATTGGTTTTCAYTGGATGGATGGTTGGTTGGTTTGGTACTTACTTTGTCTGGCTGGTTTATTGGTTGGTTTTTAGTTTGTTGATTGGTTGGTTAGAATTGCCAGCAAATTTGCTGGTTAAATTGCCTGGCTGGTTGGTGAGTCAATTGGTGAGTAGCTCATGGTTGGTTATTTGGTCGGTAATGCCGGACAGCAGGCCTTGAGGGTTCGAAAAGGTGCGGCCTACATCATTAAAACCAAGAAGCTGTACTTAAATTGGTTAAAAATTTCATACTCTGGGTGCGTTCAGAGTTCAATCTGGATGGATTAGTCTACGGGGTTCGTGTGGTCCGWTGGTGGAAGTCACAATCAGTGATTGCATATAGAAGTGATTGTTGGGATGGAAATTGAGATACATGAACGGTTGTTGGTTGACTGCGGTTTATACTGGTATCTATCCATAACATGCAAACCGATTAGTGCAGCGGCATAAAATTTAGAAATATATTCCATTTATACATTTTCTCATTCATATTTGTCGGGCCTAATATGGCTGAGCATAAGTAAAATCACAGCAAACTGTTCGTGACAAAATACATTCTACGTGACTACCTTTCATTCCATGTTTATTTTATTATTAATGGAAAAACTGCGGGTTCTAGTAACACCTATCATTTAGGAATGATCCTGTTAACGCTTTGAATTCGTTTTCGTTTAAGGATTTCAATGGAAACTCCGAYCGCCATACAGTTGTTCATCACAGTTTTGTTCCTGCATTTCTAGCGAGATATGTCAGGGTACTCCTTCTCGAAGGACACACAAGGACTGCTATTAGAGTAGAGCTGTACGGCTGTAATGCACAGTAGTTAATATGCAGCGCTCTATTTGTATAAATGTAATTAAAACTCTACAGAAAASGTACAGGATTGTGAGTTATGCCCTGATAGTCCTAGTTAACTCAACCCCGTATTCACGTCATCCAGACTAAGTTTAGAATTTATATTTGATTTTGATAATCCAAACCATTTCAAAGAAACGGCAGAACAATTATTAGTTTTAGCTTGTAGGCGTTCCTAATTGAGGGCCGAACCTGAAATGCCTGTAACGGATATATACCTCAAAGTGCGTTGAATATTTCGTAGGCCAGTGCTGAAATATCAATCTTTATTGTAAAATATGTAATAAAAATGTAATAGAATTGATTAGTGCTCATTGAAAAAGACTAATTAGGTCAGAGTTGTTCTATCTATAAATAAGCCGGTTTTCTATTCATGAGTGGAATCAGTGTCGATTTTTTCGTTTCTGTCATGACAGCTTTTTGTGGGCAAATTTATCGGGTCCAACCCACCATGTGAAAAAAATGGAGTGTTCCGGATATACGGATAAAATCTTTAAATTTTAAATTTTCTATCCTCTTGTAAGCCAAGGCAATTAAAACGCAATCAAATTGCATAATGAAGCAAATCTAAGAAAATTGCAAAACTCTTGTAAGTAAAGATATGAGAGGTGAACATTTAATTACATGGGGTTATGTAAGTGTTGAGCTTCTTTGATCGGTGTTCATATATGAAATAGTGAGAGTAGACTGAGTAGCTGGAAAACGTACGTGCAGCTTGTTTGTATCAATGCTTTGTTTAGACAAACAAATGAAAAAGGATCTAAGGGGTGAATACCGATCCACTYTTCAGATCATAGACTAGTGATACACTTTGTTTCTGGGGATTCAGAAAGCAAGAGACTTTATCAAAACAGCACTCCWGAGTCCATAGTGAACACATAGAACATACATAGAACACATACAACATGTTCGTACTTCAATTGAATATCAGTAAACTGCGTAGCAGTGGGTTGTTATCATACACGATACTACGTGTACAACAGACGCCTCTTCRACATTAAATCATTGGTGATCGTGACCGCAAACTTTCACCTGCAGAGAACATTCGCACTCGTCTACCAATTACACTCCGTTCTACTATGAGCACTAATTGATCAAAACTCCAAATAAACGTCTCGCGGTAGAATGATAAAGCTATCTTATTATCACTAATATCGGTGTATAGCAACTACTTTTCATCAGCGGGTGAGCGGATTTCAGTCAATACTTCGTTGACTCAACGTGGAAGGCAACAAATAGACCCAAAACATTCGAAAACACGCAAGACCTGTGGACAGACGAAGTGAGTATGAACGCTTTCTTCTATTTTAATTGGATATTTTGTTATTTTTGTGTTTTTGTTTTGATCTATATTCAGTTACTTTGGAACTTGTTTGTCAAGTCGGTTTTACAGWTTTCAGGGTTTWATAGTAGAATTGCTTATTGCATGAACTACATCTCGAACTGAAATAAGGAGGGATTTTCAACGCCTTATTTCAGATTGACTAAAGTTTATCTAATTTTGTCGTATGTTTTATTGCTTTGATTTGAATCTTTTCCACTGTTTTCATATTTATGTTCGTGTGACATAGTGCTAATAGTATTTATCTCTTAACAAGAATCAAATTACACAACCGAATGAGAGGAACGAGGTTTTCAGGGTTTTTTTTGTATAAATCAAATTATGTCTATTATTCTGACTGTTGTGATTTGCTTTCTGCTGTAATGTGCATGTTTATATCATTTAGACTGTACCTCTAAATCTTTTGATTATCATCAACTGTCTAATTCTGTATAAATGAGAATTAGAATGACAAACGGATAAAATACATTTGATTCACATYGATTTACGATTATTTTAGCCGTCAACCTATTTTATATACATTTTTGAGGACCATTCAGTTCTATTCTTCTACTTATTTGGATTGTTTTGTTATATTTTTTTGTTGCATAAAATGCCAAGAAAGGCCGCATGAATGTAATGTGATTGTAAAATGTGATAGTAAAGGATTAATTCAAATCTATTATTTGAGATCAGTCAGCCAGCTAAGACCACTACATGAAGTATTCAATTCAAGCTAAGAAAGTGACATACGGCGATCTCCTGATGAATTATTTAAGGCTTTATCACTGATTTGTACGAAACAAACTTTCRCATAACGCAACGGAAGATTTCTCAGATTATAAACGACCGCATAAGAATAKTCGAGGAATTCCACTCCAAGATTTGATTAATATGTGTATAATCTTACCCCGTCTGGAGAAGAAGTCATRAAGTTCAATATTTGGGCCGAAACCTTAGAGGTAAAAAAATCTGGTCTTTTCAACAGAATATGATCTTTTTTAACTATAAGAGATCTACTTCCCATCTTTATTGCGTTATAAAAGACGTCATAAACTAAAGATTTTATTTTTGGATTTTCTAGTAAGGTGTTATATCAAATCTAAAAATACACTCAGTCTTACAGACGATGTATCTTGATTTGCGCACGCATGCCTGGGGCTATTGAGACTATAGTGTTTCAGTTTATAGTTTTTCAGTTGGTGAGATACCATCAAAACTCTCGTCTTCACGTATCTTTCAATTGATAGATTTTAAGCTGAAGCTATGAAGACCTTGCTAAACTTTTTTACAGCAATCCAATCAAAAACCAATTCGCATAATCGTTTCTTCATCTCTAGCTGTTTTTGCGTTGTTCATGACATCAGAAATTTCTTCTTGTTTTGCGTCGTTAAGATCCTTCACATGATAACAACATTTCTAATAAGTCATATGACAGATTGAGATACTGRAAAAAAGTTCTTTCAATATGCCGGGTAACTTTGCTTTACTCTACTACAGTATAACTATATTTAACGCTTTTAGTAAGATTTAATTTTTTTGCTAAATTAATTCCTCCGGATGAAACATGGCAGCCATGATAACTCAGTGTCCACTCAATATTGATGCCATTTCCTATACTATTTATATATATATTATACTATTTGCTATGTTTCAGATTGATCAGACGGCTACCGCCATGTCGCAAACCTACACAGTATTTTTCATAGACTTCAACACATCTCAAGAATTTCTCAAAGATATAAAATTTCCTTGTCGGAGCAGTTTCGAGATCCATGTGTTTCACCGAAAGGACACGAAATATAACGAGTTATTAAACGCCATCCCGTCGACATTTTACGAAGATGGTCGACCAATCGCAACAAGGCATTCKTCGTTGACGAATTACCCRAACGCCGTCGAAGATGCKCTTGTGCATTCAGCGAGCTCCTACGACTTCTCACGATTCAAAAAACCCGATGTTTAYTTGGTGTCGGGTGAAAATCGGCGTTACGAAGAACTAGCGAAGATTTTGCGAAGGGCAAAGCGAGTTTCAGCATGGATGGTTGATGGAAAACTCACTACRATTCTTGATTGGCTTGACACAGATCTTGTTTGTAAAGCATGTAGAATGATCTTTGATAGTGGAGAACAAGCAATTGAGCATTTCAATTTTGCCCACTCTGGRTRAAATGATTGGCCGGAAAATTGAATTATTGTTGGAAACTGTAGATATATACCATTACTATAATCACAATATTTATAAAATGTTTATAAACACGAATACCATTCCGGTAGTTATAGTGAAAGACGCCATCTTGTAAATATACTGTCATTAGGCTTGAGGCAATTTGTTAAAAATCCATTCAAATAGGAAATGAACTATAAAACAACGACGTCCATTATGTTGCTCTCTGGGAAGACGGATCAGCGAATGCGCTGGAATTAGTGGTCGATTTAATTTTGGTTTTCAACTCGTTTTCATTCGTTGGAATGGAAGAATGCAGTTTGAGTCGGACTCACTGATTGAAGAAGAAAAATCAAGACCTTCCGATTTGTTTGCTTCGGATACTCGGAAGCGAGACCCTTGGTAGATTTCCCCTCCGACTCCCACCTCTCGTMTTCCGCTTGGGAGTGAATTAATTATCAGCCACTTTTATAAAGATAAAAGTTTGATTATTTAGGAATTTGAAATATCCACTAAAGAAGTGTGTCAAGTGCATATCCTGAATGAATCATAGCACCAGAAAAAAATCACTTCTATGCAAAAGAGCATGGATTTCTTGTAATAAATAAGAAATTTCTTATAAACAGTTGTAGTATTGTAACGTATGAGACACACCGAAGTGACTAATTCCGTTGGCGGAACCCAGTACGATGTTTTTGATGTTTAATATTTAGAACTATTTAGCTTTTGCGTTACGATTATACAATGCAGTCCGAAAGTTAACCCATCACATGAATCATGATGATAATAAAATGCAGGAACGAAGAAAATCATTCGAGAATCGKCGAAGAGTTTTAATTCATGTACAGTAAAACTCCGAATATAAGAACTTAGATTTTTTTCCGTTAGCCTGAACAGGTTCTTATATAAATGGTGCTCAGATTCAAAACTTGAAATTAGGCTCTCTAGGTTCAATGTGGTTCTTGTTTTTGTTTTTGTTTTATTTCATGCACACAGGGCAATCTTGTATGCAAAGTTTTTACAAAAAACAATAAAATAAAATGGATGGACATCATATTTGGAAATTAAGGATTCACTTAAAAGATACAGACTGAAAATATGTGMAGGGTGCATGTTTAAAATGAAAATTTCCGGTTTTACTGTAGCTAATCTAGATCCACGTTATGCTCCAGGTTAAACACATGATTTCTTGGTCGTTTTGATCTGTGCATGAACTTGTGAAGTTGTAATCCCCCTGAATCAATCGAAATACACTGTTGTAGAAAGAGGTTTGAGCTTCCTGGGAGGGGGAGGGAGGGGTTAAACGAAAAACAAGAAAAGAAGGTGCTATCACGACCAACCCTACCCCCCTACCCATTCTGGCTCCTGCATGTGACAAATGCATCTAAAGTTCAATTAGTGTGTAAAAATATTTGTAAATATTAACAAAAAAAAACAACATCGTAATGAAAACGTAGAAATTGAGTCAAAAGAGTAAAAACAAAATAAGAAGAAAAAAACTATTAAGCTTATATCTACAAATCCTTATAAAAATTATTGTTATTTAACTATGTAATAGATTTCAATGACGCCTTGTACGCTATCAATGTCGCAGTCATTGTTCTTCACATTATAGTGGGGACGTCGTTTTGTTAGTCTAGATCCCCTTAAACAAACAAGTGAAGATCTCAAGAGTGCAAACGAAATTCCAGCACGAATCATCATCATCATCATCATCATCATCATCATCATCATCATCATCATCATCATCATCATCATCATCATCATCATCATCATCATCATCATTATCATCATCATCCTGGTCGCTACTACAGTCTATACTCACCTTTTGAATGAAGCAGAACTCTGACTTATTTGGTTGGCTGACAAAAGTATATGTCTCTAAAAAAAGCCTCACACTTAATGAATAAGAATGAATGAGCGTGAATTAAAATCAGCTAGATTCTGCTGTTTAAAATTACAAACATTGCCGAGGATCGACTGAACACAATTAAACAAACATAAGTTTAAATGCAGTAAATTTAACAAGATATCGTCTTGATGCTTTACTTTAAAGTGGTTAGTTTAGCTTAGTTTTTTAGCTTAGTTTGATTTCTTGTTGCTGCATTTTTTTGTTTATTTTGTTGTTTGTGGGAGGCCTTTGCCTTTCTATCATATATTGTTTGTTTTATACTTGCCTCCTTTGAATAAAGGGCAGTCTAAGCGATCACTTTCACAAAGTCCTGGAGATTCATGAAAAGCAAATAACATTCCATTCCACCTCAAGGAGTACTTGCAAGCACAATACAAAATATCGGTTTCTACGAAAACAAATGAATTTTCATAGTAGTGCGTTTTTTAAATCGGCTTTGTAGCGACGGTCTCAKTTGAAGTATACTTTTGTATTTTTCAAAGATAGAATGCTTACAATCTGTATATTATTAGGGCTTTAAAATGTGAAAAAATTGGTCGAAKTTTGCGCGCGCAAGGCAAACACGGTTTAATACCACGATTTGAATGGGTAGTTTGGGTAGTTTTGCCCATCCCGTAGGAAGATACTCCGCTTATCGAGCCACCCCACTTCCCCCCCTCCCCCCTCCCTCCTCTCCCCACACGCTTTCCAAAGTCAACTATCTGTTACCATCTGTGACAGTTGGATGAAATGAGTCAGACTGTGATCATTTGGAGTCATGGGTGTCAAACTTTTTTTTAAAAATCTGCTAAGTGCCATTGGACTAAGAGTTTTTACATTTTACATATTATTCTGTATATCAAAACTTTAAAAAATACGATATACTTTTTTAATCTTAACATGTTTCAGCATTACATTATGCCAWCCTCAGAAGAATGAGAATAAAAGTCGTTACAAATGATTATATAGTCTAGGTACAAATGATTGACATGTAATATAATATGAACTAAATGAACTAGCGTGACTAATAAAAATAACAAGATAACCAGTACATGTTATCTGTTATCCCTATTTATAGATAATATGACAGCTACAGTTTAAAAGAAGTTTTCATATGCTTTACTTGAACGTTAAGTTCAGGTTTTAGATTGTTAATATAAAAAGCTTCTTTAAGTTTAAGGAGTATTTTATACTTTGCAGTGTCTAAGATCTTAAAACAATTCAAAGAGTATTTATCACTACAACTTTTAGATTTCGTGAGGTGTTTAAAGATGTGAGAGTTTTTATCAGAAACAGTATGTTCTTTAATCCTTGTAGAGAAATGGCGAGAAGTCTCTCCAATATAACGAGATTGACATCCCGCACAAGTAAATTGGTAGACTACACAAGATTTAAGACCATCTGGAATGGCATCTTTAAAACTAAAAAGTTGTTTGATTTTAAATGAAGTAAAAACAAGTTTAAGGTTAAATTCCGGACAAAAAAGTTTACATAGTTTTTTAATTTTAAAATTAGTTATTTTAGAAAAGTTTCCAATGTATGGTAGTTTAAAATAACGAACTTCGGCAGAAGTTTCCTGTGAGACATTGTTAGCTACATTTTTAGCATTGCTAATTTGTTGATTAACCGCGTTGTCTATGATATGAGCCGGAAAAGAGTTACGTTTAAGTGTTTGTGTTAGTTTATTTATGTCCGTTTGAAAGCCATTCTTAGTGTTGTTAATTTTAAAAATCCTGTCAGTTAGTGTTTTAACTAGACCGATTTTATACCTAAAAGGAGTAAAACTTAAAAAATTAGTTAGAAGGCCCGTGTATGTTTTTTTATGAAAAACCGACGTTGTACATTTATCTTGAGAATTATCTATTAAGACATCAAGGAAAGATAACTTCCCGTTGACCTCTTTTTCAAACGTAAAATTTATGCTGTCATGTCTAGAGTTAAGATACTTAAGAAATGACATAGCGTCATTTTCACTATGAAAAAGACAAATAGTATCATCTACATAACGCCTATAATATAATACATTTGGACCATTATAATTAGAAAGCCAATTCTGTTCATGATAACCCATGAACAAATTAGCAAGTACAGGAGCTAGAGGTGACCCCATGGCTACTCCATCTATTTGGTCATAAAATTTGTCATCGAATAAAAAATGAGTTTGTGACGTTGCAAAGTTAAAAAGTTTCCTAAGATTATCTTTGCTAATAAGAAAATTAGGATTGTTTTTAAACACAAGATCAACAGCTATTTCAATAGTTTCCTTAAGCGGAATGTTTGTAAATAGACTTTCAACGTCAAAAGATATAAGAAACTTATTACGAGTGTCTAAACTATTAAACTCCTTAACAAAAGAAAATGTATCTTTTGTAATA